TTTTTATATTATATATGTATATATTATCATCTCTTTTTTTGTTTCTTTATAAAAAAACGATTCCTTAATGAAAAATCCAGCAAAATCAGGAAGTTTAACTGTTTCAACGTGTCCTCAAAAGCACCTACCTAATTTAAACACAATTATGTTCTCGTTCACGGATAGTTTAACATTATACGAAGGTCGGCTCTTTTTTTTTTTGGTTCTATTGTGATCTGACACACCTATCGATTTTAGGATCGAATTCGTTTCATTTTGCGGCTACCAGTTGACGATACATCATGCCTGGTCCTCTTATATCCGTCCCCCGATGTGTAAAAATCCTACGAGAAGACCTTGAGTTACCTCTCCCTATTAGCTTCAACATATACATGTATGTATATAGATATATACATTGTATGTACCTACACAAACAACATCCTATAGCCACGGATCGGTAAGTTCGTGTCGAGTTAGTACATGCAATGTTTTCTCGTGGGTTTCTCTTTCTACCCGAGAGACTTACCTCTGAAAATGTCTCTTTTCATTTATTTTTCGTTATTACTGGAATTTTTTACTCAATTTTAAGTGTACAGTAAACTCTCCCGTATAACGTAAGTTCTTATACCGCGAATTACTATACGCGCTATATAATAAAATGTAGAAATTCTTCGAATATAAAAATTAACTATGTTTAAATTGGGCATTACATTGTTCTCTTCATCGTTACAGATTTCTTCTACATCCTAATTGTTTCTTTCTTTTTAAATTTTTACCACTTTTTTATCAAGATAAGTTCACGGTAAATAAGAATTTTACTTAATATTTATATCACATACACACATACATGTTCCAGTGGACTAATAGTAAATTATCTCATGGAAAATAAAATTTCAAACAATTGTTATACGAGGAAAATCTTCATACAACATGATGTCCTACAACTTCAAATTCATACAACGTGTAATGTATTAACCATGTTATACAAGAATCTACTACACATATATATATGTAAGTTTCTCTATAAACGATCGATCGAATGACCCTTGAAGGTTCCTTCTTCCTTTTTTTTGACCGATCGATTTACTTCGATAACAAATGTTCGTTAAAATCGATTATGATGTTCGAATAACGAGGAATCAGATTATATTTCCGAGAAAAACTTGTTTGAAAAAAAAAAGAAAGCTTTTCTTTTCCTTACAATCTTTTTTCTTATTTACAAAACAATTCACAGTTAGTGATATTTGGTGTCAGTAAAAAGGACAGGTGAAATTTTAGATAAAATATATTTACGCTTCTACTATTCTATCTGATAATATAATAATAATAAAACCGCATAATGGATTTTTCATCGATCCTGAAAAGAATAAAGCTATAGACATTCTTATAACCAACTGTAAAAACTTATCCGGAAACGTTCGATCGCAAATGTCGGACACGTAGGGTGCACTCTTCGTTATTGATTTCGTGTCGTGTACACTGAAAACTTTAAACACCGACGCTTGTTGTCGTTTTGAGAGAGAAAGAGTAAAAGAGAGAAATATACATATAATTAATATGTTTTCATTAAATATTTATAATTGACCCTACTTCTCTTACAATTAGAATTTATATTTTCTTCTGCATAAATAACGATAAGTTAAAAATATTTGATTTACTCATCAGCCAATGATATCAAATTTAAAATATTTTTTCATTAATATCGAGTATCAAAAGAATTGTTACCGACTTGAGAATGATCAGACGAAGATTTGTTCGGAACAAAGATTGATTATTATAGAATTAAAAAACAAAACAAAAATTGGATGACAGAGAAATATTATAATCAATAAATATTGAAATAAATAAAAAAAAAGATAAATAACGAAAGAGTATATGTAAGTGTGTGTGTGTGTGTGTGTGAATAAAAGATTGCAAATGATCGTTGTTTGTGCAACAAAATAGTTGCGGTCCTCGGCTTTTTGAACGTACATCGAAGACCGACTACGTGTTGACTGTACAAAGTATATATACAACATGCTTATCGATCACAAAAAGTATATACGTGGTTGCACGTATATGCAAAATATTTCGTGCATCCTCCTCATATAATATATACATATTAACATACATACATACATATAATTTATACATATGGACAACATACGCGACGAAGCAGCTTAGGCGCATGAAAATAAACGCTTAGGATCATTAAATCTTAATAGAAAAGTGGAAACACGTGATCAAAATATTATATCAGATAGAATCGTTAATCCCTCAAACAGAAATTTACTCGACTGTATATTGAAAAGATAATAACAATATTAATGATAAAATTTTACAGGGAACTTGGACATGAAAAGAAGTAGTTTTGATTGAGTTGGACGTTTCGTCCCTTTATTGGGAYTTCTTCAGCAACTGGAAATTTTATTTTATTATAAATTCTTGTTACGATACATGAGGTTCATACAATATAATTTTTCTTCATATTACCTTAATCTTTAAAGTTCAGCGTCTTTTTTCTTTAATTCGACATACATTTTTCTTTTTGTTAATATTCCAAACACAACACATTTAAACTTCGTTAATTCGATCGTTATTATTTAAAGTCCTCAGCAAAACTGTTTCAATCTAGACTAGTGTTTGTTAGCCTAGATATCATCAGTGTAAGGTGTCCTATATTATTATATCACGTGTGTATAAAATACCATGTGAATGTGATAAGAGCTATATTGGTCAAACGAAACAGAAATTAAAAAAAAGATTAGACCAACACAAAAATGACTGTAAACCTATAAATGTGAATAAAACCAATACCACAGCGTTAGCTGAACATCATTTCACAACAGGACATAATTTCGAATTTGACGCAGCAACTATCTTAGACTTGGAAGAAAATTGGTACAAAAGGAATATCAGCGAAATGTATCATATATCGAATAATAACACGGTGAATTTTAAAACAGACACAAACAATCTAAATCACATCTATAATGGAATTTTTAAATTTTAACCATAATAAATAATAGAGGACACCTTACACTGATGATATCTAGGCTAACAAACACTAGTCTAGATTGAAACAGTTTTATTGAGGACTTTAAATAATAACGATCGAATTAACGAARTTTAAATGTGTTGTGTTTGGAATATTAACAAAAAGAAAAATGTATGTCGAATTAAAGAAAAAAGACGCTGAACTTTAAAGATTAAGGTAATATGAAGAAAAATTATATTGTATGAACCTCATGTATCGTAACAAGAATTTATAATAAAATAAAATTTCCAGTTGCTGAAGAAGTCCCAATAAAGGGACGAAACGTCCAACTCAATCAAACTAAGTTCTACTTCTTTTCATGTCCAAGTTCCCTGTAAAATTTTATCATTAAAAATTGTAATTTTGGACGAGAGGAAATACTAAATAAACAATATTAATCATCCTCAAAAGCACATTCGACGATTTCTACAAAATAATTAATAATAATAACTATTATTATTATTATTATTATTATTATTTCATTGAAGTTAAAATTATTTCAAGTCACATTCTTTCTTTGTTCATAATTCAATAATTAATACCGTAAAAATATATTTACAAAAAAAATAATCGATTTAATTAATAAGTAAGAGACTACTATTGAAGTGTCATTTTCTCAACACAAAAACAACGGTTCTGATACATTGCATGAGAAGAGAACGCTCGAAGACTCTCCAAATGCTTTTTCCCGCGTTCGAGCGTCGGCCACTTCGATGATCGTTAATAATAGAGCACTCGTTGTTTTTATCGTCGAAAGCAGACCTGCTTCTTGATACACGTTGCGGGTGAATTAGAAACCTATTACTTTCACGTGTGTCTCAAGATAAAGATAAAGAGAGAGACTAAGAGAGAGAGAGAGAGAGAATGAAAGTAAGATAAAGATAAAGAGACTATATTTACAAATAGATTTTAAGAGTTAGTTATTCACATTAGCTTAAATCAAGAGATTAGGTATTTAAAAATAAAGGATGATATTCATTGTCGAATCCTTTCGCGTCTTGCTAACGAAGTACACCCTATTAACTAATAGAATCTCTAAACGTTCTATAATTAATTGCTTCAGTTTTACTGTGATCCTTAATCGTTTATTATCCTTGAACGAAAATTTCTACCACATTCCGTTAGTTCCTTTCAAAATGGGTCGATCGAAGTACACCGATACAAAATACATATTCCAAGAACATTCCTAACCCTTCTATCGAACCAATGACGCCCACGCTCAAGTAGAAATCGTTAAAAAGAAATAAAGTAAAAAGCTTTTTTTCTTCGATTTTTTAATTCGAATGAAAATCAGCCAGGAGTCAAACGCCTTTTACTCGAGTTTTAATAATGCAGTTCTGCACGCCATTATCGAACAAATGCATTTACAATTCTATATCTTCGAAATTTATCACCAATAATTGGGGATAATGATTTATGATATTGACAACATTTATTTTTTATTTATATTAGAAAATCGAATATAGAAAGTATACAGACATTACTTTCTTCTAAAAAGAAGAATTAAATGTCGCGTGCTAATAAAATAAATATTTAATCGTTCCTGTCATTTGATTTCATTGAAATATTTAACAAATTTAACCTATTCGATATATATATTAATACGCGCGAATAAAACAAATTAATATAAAATATAAAAAAAATAAATAACCTCAAGACGTTATCTACAGCGACTTGATTGAAAATTGATATAAGATCTGTCTTAACTTTCAAGAGAACGAGTTATTTCATCAAAGAATATAAAAACTTTCATCAAGATAAAAAGAAGTTGTTAATATTAATAGAAAGTTACAAGTTATTATACAATGCTAATGAAATATTAATCTCAACAGAGTATAAAAATGTATTATTTGTTTGAATTCAAAAAAAAAAAAAGAAAAAACTTTTAAGCAGATGAACCTAATATATGCTACAAATCAATCAGTCCTATTAAAGTCATAAAAAACTATACAAATGATAGAAGAAGAAAATACGAAGGTGATAATAATAAAAGGTAGAAACTTACCTTAGCCATCTCGTCGTCCTATTTGTAGGAGAAAACTTATCAAAAAGATGCACCACCAGTCAAGCTCCAGCTTCCGGTCAAGCGTTGACTCTCTCGAGTGGGCCTCACCGAAACGGAAACTCGTGTTCTGCAAAAGGCGGATGAACGATGATTGATCCTCGAGTTCATTCCTCGTATTTAACGGATATTTCGTTAATTTAATATTATCGCGATTGGTCGCGAAACAATTAGATCACCAGGTGGTGATCAAATAATTATGGAAATAAATAAAGAAATAAAATGAATAAATAAGGATAGAGAGAGAGAGATAAAGAGAGGTAGAGATAGAGTTAGAGTAGCTAACGAGAGAAAAACTGAGGAGCCACCCTCAAACGCTCGATTGTGGCGCGTGTGCGCCTGACTTTTCTCCGTGAGTCCTACTCAACGCGTCGATTCCAAGCAAAATTCAAGGAAAATTCACTCCTCTCTTGCGACTCTGGGCTCGCGCAGCGACGCTTCACCGACGTTGGCGTCGCCGAGAACGACGCTCGTTATTGATCGGGGCCCGTCGTCGAGCGTCGGCGGCGTCACTGCTTCCCCCCCCCCGTTCGAAGCTACTACTAATACTGGAGCTAAAAGTGGGGGTGGAGATGCTGAAAATGCAGGTAGAGGTGGTAATAGCGATGGTATACTCGTGGAAAATCGGACAACGTAGTTCTCTTTCTTTCTTTCTTTCTCCTTCTTTTATCTACTTTCTCTTCCGAGAGGGTTGGCGCCGTTTCAATGAAGAATAGAAGAGACCTCGATGGATCTCTTCTCTTTCCGGTCCTAAAAGGCTTCTCTTGCAAAGATTTTAAGCTAACGAAATGAGAACAAGAAAGTTCATCAATCTTTTTTTTTCTTCTTTTTTCTTTTTTTAGTAATGATTTTGATCGTTTTTATGTGGATTAATTTATGTAAAAGAAAAATTGTTCGTTTATTCTTATAACTATTTTTGTATTCGGAATAAATTTTATTAACGGATTCAAAAACCATTCTTTTGTTATTTTCTTTTTACTAATTGTAAGTTTTAAAGAGAGATTTTCAAAATAATGAAATCTAGTTAAAGGAAAAATTTTATTTAAAAAATAATATATGTATATTTAAATGATGTTAATGTTTATAAAAATTACACGTGAGAATTACAATAGATAGATTTCAAATATTAAAAGATCAATAGAAAAATTGTAAGTTCTTTTTAATGTAACTTCTGCGCTCTCAAGATCCAGCGAAAAATAATAAATATTATTAAACAAGATATAAAAACAATTTATATAGGTAATATTTTACGTGATTATAATTCTTTCGTATCGAAGTCCATAATATTCCCTGTAAAGAACTTTGCTTAGAAAAATTTATAAAAAATTCTTAATTTGAATCTCAGAGTTTATTAACTTATATAAAATTATATTAAACTATATATATATGTGTGCAACAGTAATTGATTGATTGCTCATCACCTATTGTGCGAGTACAAATAAATAATTCCGACTAATGGGACACTCATGCCTACAACTATTATGACTGGAAAGAGTTAAAATTAAACACAGCCTTTGTACGAAATAAATACATCACAACTATATATTCTATGTGTCCGGAAATAATTTCGATTCCAGGACAATGGTTCTTTTGTGTGTTTTATATATGCTGCTTCGAGTCTCTCCTAAGAATAAAGATCAAATTTGGATCCAGTGAATACGTATGTTTCCTCCTTTCTATGGCTCGATAATTTCTTCGACAATATTTACAAAATAGTATTCGGTATATGCGCTCATGGAAATAACGATAAAAATTATATATCATTGATTTGATCGTTACGTTGGATATTTGATAATAAAATGTAATAAATAATTCATTGATACTATTGATATAAAAATACAATATTATCTACGAAAGTATATCAAATAATGATGATGATAATATTACCTTGCGATAATATGACACGCAGCTTTTAACCATTGTTTCAGCATTCGAGAAAAAAACTGTATATTATTAAACAAATTTTTCTTTCATATCACGATACCATTCCTATTTTTGTTTCGTAAGTGGGATTTACCATTACCTTGCATGTTTCCCGTAGGTATATGCGGACGCACGCTCGAATGATTTGAAAAAGTCAAATTGTTAGATACAACGAAAATCGCTAAAACTGTTCTTTTTTTTTCTTTTTTCCTCCCCTTTTGGTTGTATGTTTTTAAAAGGAAACACGCACAGCACGGTGATCCTGCACGTATTTTCAATTGATTTCGTAATACCGGAATTATTGCGAAACGATTCGAAGTATTGTTTGAAATACTACACAACGTATATGTATATATACCGATGTGATTGCTGACAACAAGATTGAAAATAAATATTTCGAATATTAAGTTATATTATCGAAAAGACATTGATATAATTTCATATTTTCGCAAGTGTCGATACGCGCCAGATAAGACAACAATCTATCGTAGTAACATTTCATACAAGGAAGAGAAAAGAAATGAATAATTTGAAACATAAAAGAATAAATTTAAATTCTAATTTTTATAATGCGAAACTTACAATTATATCTTGACAGCTGATGATAAGATCCACGAACGATTTCTAAGAAATTTTCGTTTTCGATAAAAGAAACCAAAGATCGAATCACTGCTAGATGATCCATATATCCTCGAGATAATAACACTGATATTTTATTCCAAATTAAATTCTGTCCACTCTTTATCTCTCTTTTTTAAAACTTTTTTGAAAAAAATACTCACATTTTATTCAAGAATACCAAATAAAACGTGATAAAGTAAATAAATGTATAAAATAAAGAAAGAAAGAAAATTCCGTACCTGCATTGAGCTACCGCGTATCGAGTGCTACGAACTTCTCTTTACAGAGGTTCGGCTGATACTGTTGGCGAAATTATTAGGAAGTAGTGACAACTCGGGTAACGTACTCAGGTCACCTTGGTGGCGTCGTTGACGAGCCGCCGGGATGAAAATAATGGCTGGCACAAGAACATATCTTCAATCGTATCTTCGGTTTTTCTCGGATAATACTGAAATTCATTTCAAATTGTTACAACGACGTAATAAATTATTTATTTTCATTTGCCGGCACTTTATCTTCCCAATAAATTTATTTACAAATGTATACACCTATTCCCGAATGTACACAGTACTTTATTTACGCGATTTCACTTTTACATGGTTTTAAAAATAACGATTTTAAACAAAAACTGTTAAAAATTAACATTTTTGCTTCACACATATTTCTATACGGTCAATTTTTAATTCCATTTGATTAATAACAGTGGCATTAAATATAAAAAGAAGAATATTACTTTTTATATACATTCGCGCGCGCGCGGAAACCACTCATGAATTAGCGTAGTAAATCTCACACAGCAAATCTTTAGCAGAAAAATGGTGTGTATCGTTATTCTTTTTTTTAATGAGGAATTTTTGTAAACTTTATATTTTTATATAGCTTTTTTGGCACTTTTATAATTTACTTAATATTTTATAGACTTTATTATATGCCGAAAGAAATTTAAAAAAAAACAAGTGAGTAAAAAAGTTTTATATTTATAAATACAAATAAAAATTTTAGATCGTCTACGTAATGGAGATAGTAATACATAATGCTAAATAATATTCCAAGAATGAAGCCACAATAAGAACTATAAGAAATAATAAACACTTCATTAGAAAAAGTGTTCTAACTGAAACTTATATGAATATGAGCACAACTTCATATATAAGGAGTAGTACAATCACAAAAATGGAAAAGGTATTAATGATATGGATAAAAGACTAAACTTTTAATTCAATTTAATGAAATATGTAACAGACTAAATTATGCACATTTCGATTTACACAGTTTTACATACAAAAAATAACCATTTAGATTTATACGGTATTACAAGAAATCGATCTTCCGTTTAAATCGAGGAATAGGTGTATTTTTATAAACACAAATGGACGTCGGCAAGTTTATAGTTAAATTTAATATGCTCTCTATACATGAAAACACGTATTCGAAAATAAAACATGTGTATATGTTGTTTCGTTTTATTATTTACTTATTATATTTAACATTTGTTCGTTATTGTTACGAGAGATTTTTTTTGTTGGATTATTTCAAATTATTTTGCGTCACGTAAAATATCCGATCAAAAAATCGAACAATTCAAAATTTCTAATGATTTAACACATAACGAAGTTTCATATACAATTTAATAATTCAGGATCGTCTTATATATTCTACTTCGTGAATCTAAACATAAAGATTGTTTGCATAAAGATATCAATTATTTTATCTACGTACTACGATAACAGTACTATAAGAACGACAAAGAAATTTAAAGTATCGAGTTGAAAGAGCTAAAATTTTCAACGATCATTTGAAATATAATCACTTTGACCTTACATCATTTATATTTGTATAATTTTTTTTACAAATAGGATTTTTTATGTCACTTGTCTATTTACGTATACCGAGAATACTTATTTGCATATTTAATTGTAAGAGAAAAATATTCATACGAACGCGAAAATTAAAAAAAAAAAAAACAATCGATTTGAAATAATACAAAATGATAACTATAATAGATAAACGTAATTAAAATTGTTAAAATTGTGTAATTAACACACTATGTCATAGTAAAATAAATATTGAATATTTTATAATTAGGAATGACGGATGTAAAAAGGTTGGATATGAACTGTAAAAATGAGCTGAACGACATTGTTTCATTGCACGTTGATACACATGTATTTACGTACTATTTTTTATTCATACTCGGTAGGCTTCACAACACATTGATTATAAAAAAAAAAAAAAAAAGAAAAAAAAGGAACTGCAGACGTAGCGTCACAAACAAGAGTATCTTTGTCGCCCGAGCAAATATCATTAATTTAACATTAAAAATCATGTATGTAAATATGATGTACGTTGAATTGTAGTGCATATCTTTCTATACTAAAATCCTAAAAACAGTTTTGTCTTTTAACACATCGTTATATCGTAAATCAACGCGTTTTTGAATCGATGAGATCCCTATTACATTCAGTAAATATTTCGCCGATGTTGATTGTTCCATAATCAGCGGCTTTAGTATTCCGGAAAACTTGGAGAAAAAACGGAAGGAAAAATATCGTTGGTTTCGTCTCTAAAAATTAAACGTGGAATGGATTCCGAAGGCGTGTTGTTACACGAATAAGTATATTTATTTACAATGACTGCGATTAATTTATTACGAACCCGTTCTCAAATCACTTTCTGCATTAATACACTCCTATATATATATACAGTTATTTATAAATACATCTATATCTTTTTTGAGGCCATCGATATTGTCAAGTTGAAATTGTCATTTTAAGCAACAAAAAATGCTTTAATAAGGCATAATTTGTGTCTCCATAAAAAACTATGCTGTAATTCTTTGTTGTATAATGTATGAATTTATATACGATAGTATAAGAAGCATTCTCAAGGCACAAATACGGGCGGCATATATGCTATGCTAATTCTAACACAATAAATAGACAATTTCTTCCACGCATTTTTGATTTACATACTTTCAAATTGTAAGGCTTATTAATATACTTTTATAAGAATAATGCAGACGATTTGTAATCGGGTCTTACAAAAGAATTCAATGTATATATAAGTGTTTCAATTGATAAAGTAATTGAGAGAGTTGCAAGAACGTAATTTAAAACTCTTAGTATACAGTATGGTGCGATAATTATACATACATGTTGCGACGAAGCATCGTGTGCTCATTTCGATTGCTAGAAGCTCAATACACATAAACGCATGTTCAAATCTCTTATAATATTTAATCGATATTCTTTATGAATATAATTCATCCTTAAAATCTTCTGTTAGCGTCAAGGCTTAACAGGCAATTGCATGAAAATGTAAGGCAAATAAGATTGTATCTAGTATTGTTGGCGAAATGTTATTCTTGTAATTACCGATTATTGTCACGATCTCTTGTATAACTGTCGTTATGAAAATCTTGTATATTTCAGTCTCTCTTATCGTTTTTTGTTTTGTTATCTTGGCAAATTTTCTTAATTGTTGATCTCCCGATCGTAATTTGCTAATTTTGGTAGCAAAGAATCACAGCTAGACACATCGGCAAACGAGTGTTATTTAACAAGCGGCAGTGACTTCTGTTTCACGGTCGTACAATATTCTTACTTTAACTCATGTAACATCTGACTTTTCCTAAACTTATAATTAAAAAGTACATTAGAATATACATAAAATGTAATAGAGCAGTTCATAAGCCAGAAATACGTTTGAATCTATATCGGAATACAAACATAATTAAGTATATGTCATTCTTAAATGAATCTTAATATTAATCACGTATACCTTGGTTAAAACGACATAAAAGGAAATTATTTGTCATTAAACATTTCTATAAAAAAATTGCCTATATATATCGACACATTTGTAGCACAACTTTTACATAATGCAAGATATTTCTTAAATATATTCAAACTTAAAAGTTTTCTATTTCTATTGCACTTTCATTAATTATTCGTACGACATTCCTGGCTCGTTATATAATAAAAAATGAAATGAGCTTATTATAAATATGTAACATTAAAAGATTATTTATTTAAAGTTAGAATTCCCTTTTCTTAAAAAGAAAAGAAGAATGTTTTAAAAAGTAATTTCTTTCATTTTATTAATCACAAACTATACTGCATTATTTCAAGAGATACTTTTGCTATAACGTTAAATTATATTGTTATCTCAAGGAATATATTTTATACTTAAAATTTATATAAATACTGCATAATGTTAACCATTAAAGTTCTTCTGTAAATCATACTGTGGAACCAAACGTCACTATAGTAGCTTTCGACCAAGCCATTCTTAAGCTTATCTCGCTTATTATTTTTATTACTTAAAAAGTTATGTGCATTGCATAAATAATGGAAAATATCATTCTTTGCTTTGATAGAAGTTTCTCTCGATATAAACATTCTTTTCTAACAATTTATTTACGTTTATATACACACGATAGCAAATATCGCCGTACTAGCAACGCAGTCTTGTCGTAACTAGAAGGTTAAACTTATGTAAAAAAAATTACTAAATAAACATTTAAGGATTAATGAACTATACAAAAAGTTCTTTATGTTTATTACATTCTTCATTACTTTGTAAAGGGAAATCTTACTTTTAAAAATATTATTTAATTCATTATCAAGTTATGGTCAATACATGATCAACATAGCATGGCATACATAAAATGTTAAGGAAGCTTGCACAAAAAGTAATCCTTTAAAGCAGGATTACTTAATTTAAAATATCAAGAGATTATTGGATGCAGTTAACTTTCAAATGTCAACGTGAGATCAGCATCCAGTATTTAATACCGAAGTATCAATTATATCATTATCAGTAATGACAAAATTAATTATTCTTATTTCATGATTATGATTATAATGATAAGTTTGGATAATCTAATCCTTGTTTAGGTATAAGTTGTAATTTTAAAGCACGCATATTATACTTCAAAGGACTGGACATTAGAGTATTATAATTTTAATGTATAACTTTCGTACGATAGGCACCAATTTTAGAGCCAAACATGAATTTCTGATTTTAATCTCTACCTCTATATTTATACATGTATAGTTCTAATTATACATTATTTAAAATGATTTAAAATCAGGTTAACATATTTAGTTCTAAAAATTAGGTATTTCTATTGATTTAGGAAATTACTTTCTTCTATCACTCGATAGATAACTTGTGCTTAAACTTCAATTTTTATATCATTCTTGTATTGTCCCTTAAGATCGTCTAGGAAAGCATTTGCAATATGCTACTAGCCAATATCTTCAGAACAATTCCCATATAAAATAAAATATTATGACTGTTGAATAGGTTTGAAAAATATTCCTCATATGTATATAAGATATCCTATTTCTACTATAATTATTTCCATGTATAACAGCCAAAATGTGGTATAACTCTGAATATATACCACGTTATCTGGGAAATTTTTATATACCAACAATCACTCTCTATCTATCTAATTTCTTATAATTGTTCATTTTATTTAAAATATTCCTTAAACATTTTTAAACCTTTACACTCGACAGCTTTTTTACTAAAGCGAACTAACAACTCAAGACAACTTTACAAATATTTGACAAATCTCATACAGCTTATTTAAAAGAAGTTGATACAAACATAATATATTTTAATATCTTATATATCTTTACATCTTAAAAAGAAACAATTTGTTAAATATTATGCTCTATATTTCTTGTTTGTGCAGTATTTTCTAAAATAATTATCAAAATGTACACTCAATTTGGCAGAACACATCGCAATAAAATTTGATTTTATGTTTTCCACAAGGTTTATTTCGTTTAGAGCATATCTTGAAATCTTTCTTAATTTATGTTAAAAGAACAAAAAGCTTTCCATTTAAACAAATTTTATCGAAACAATTTTTTTGTTTAAAAAAACCAAATTTTTTACATACTACAGACATTGTCTATTCGTCCGCAGTATCACTATCACAATTCATACATTCTAGTATAAACGAATATCGTCATTGCTTAGTCACCACTCAAATTAATGCATCAAATCAAGTGTCCCTAGAGAGTAGCTTTTCGAGTGTAAAGGATTAAATATGCTGAAATAAAACATGTCACAATAAATGATCATCTTTGACACTTACACCTCTAACCATCCACTTTCCTGAAAATACTATCTCTTGTATAATCCACATAATATATGTTTCCGCACTAAAACTCACTTATCTATTACCACTAGTGGTTCTTCCTGCTTATATTATCAACCTGTATACGATTTATGACACAGAACTTATAGCATTATGTGGTGAACCCATTTGTGTTAGCACCTTATCCAACCATTGCAAAGGTCCATGTAAATGTGCTTCTATCCAACAAGGTGTAGATGTAACATCTTGTCGGTGATACTCAGCACCCCATCCTTTTACAAAAGACATTCTAAAACATTCAGAGGGTGAAAAAAATGCCAAATAATTAGTAAAAACGTGAAATAATGAAAATATAAGCATACCTTATTGTACACATTTTTGTTAACTCATAAACAGCTTCAAAGCCATGATTAACACTTTGTGACAACAATTGAGCAAATTCTTGATTATTAAATATTTTAAGCGAGCATCCAGGAGGAATTTTACAAACTGTACTAGGATGAAAACCATGATGATGATTACAATTTCTAGATTGAACAAATATAGCTGAATCTGAAAGACATTCTGCATAAACTTCTCCACCAACATAATAGAGATGCACTCCTTTTCCAATGTGTCTTCTAGTATTTTCTATAGTAGAATTTCGATTTACATTGGACAGCTGACCCAAACAAAAGCGATCAGAGTTATTACTTGGATTCGTAAAACCATCTACTATAACAGAATGAGAATGACAATGAAAAACTTCTCCTACTCTACAATTTAATTCATAATATGCGATAGATGCCCAAAATGGTTGTTCTTGATAACACACTGGTGCTACTTCAGCAGGACCACTTGTGTCCATTGGGACTGGATCCGGTTGAGGAGATTGACCTGGTTGAGAGCCATCTTCCGGAGGAGAATATGCCGGAGGTGGTGTCTCTGGTAATCCATTTGTACCATAAGGACTTTGTGGATTCGGTGAAGTAGAACTTCCTGGACTAGGTACAGAGCTGACAGAAGACATAGGAGATGTTGGATTTACACCACCAGTAGAACTTGCGTTAAAGCCACTGGATGAATAAGATACATTGTGCGGCATGGTTGGCTCTGCTAATTGTTGAAATGGTAGAAGAGAATGTCCAGGAGCATATTCTGAATGTCGTGGAACAAGTACCGGTGGAAGTACAGGACTTTCCACTCTCTTGTAATGGTAGGGATTAATGCAAACTTCTTTTTGCTTAGCAGAAAATGGATATTGACACACTTCAAGCGGTTTCAATTCATGATGAGATTGTAAATCTGGCCATCTCCATACCCGACAATAAATTACATGCGGTAATCCTTTGCGATGAGATACTTGTAATCTACCATCTAAGCTTCTTGGTATTGTTACACATTTGCTGGGTGTGCCAGGACAACTTAAGGCCCGTTCCAATTCCTCTATAGCACCTTTCCTTTTTTTCAATTTCTTTACTAAAGAATCGACTGCCTTCTCTGCCCATTTTTCTTCTTCATCTCCTTGTTTCCAGCCAAGCAATTTTTTCACAGCTGGACTAGTGAAAGAAAACAAACTGTTTAATGAAGACATAGGTCCGGAACTTGATGCACCTTCCTCATCATCCATGTTGAAAATATTTAGATATTAATTAGGCTAGTGGCTTTTTATTTAATTCTTTCTCCTAACTATGATCTGTAACAGAATACAATTGAAACATAAATATCATATATAATGTTTACAATTGGATATTTATTAAAATGAAAAAAGTTTTTATATTTTAAATTCAAAATATTTAATAAATATAAAAAAAAATCAGCTAGATACAATGATATAGATGCTGTCGACTCAAGTCAATAATAGTATCAAAGAGATTAAAAAACTTTATAAATATTATAAATATTAAACTTGTCTAGGTTAATCGTGCCTGTCTTTTTCCCCATATTTTATTCTTAAGAAAAAAGCTGTTACTGAAGCTTCTCATAACGAGTCGAAACGTATGCTTTTACAAATAAAAATACATAGCTAATTGTAAATTCCAAAAGTTTCTTATTCGTGACAATTTAACATAACCTAAAATTAAAATTTCTCCTAATAATTGCGAATATGATATAAAACTATCAATAATAGATATAAAAAAAAGTTAGGTTAGAATTCCGAAATGTTTTCAAGATTACGTTGTCGAAAAAAAAAGAAAGTGTAAGAATTGAACGCGCGCGCTCACGAAAGTGCATAAAAAATTCACATTCACGAAACTCAAATTTTGTACAATAATGGAATAAAGACAGTATGAATATTTACTTACGTATCTAACGCTACCGATTCAGCATCATTGTTTTTACTAAATCTCTCTCCTACTAGGACTAAATCGACGCCACGCTTTCGCCATCGCAAAATAAGTAAAAGGCGGCTGGAACCGCGTATCGATTTTTAACGCGTTCGAGTTTAGAGTTGATTTAATGGCGCAATGATGATTCTTACGAACTTGATAATCACCTAAGTAAATTTCACATCGATATAATATTATCCGCTTCACAGCATTCTCACTTTTTTTTTCCTCCCGCCCTTCCAATCATTCTTACTCACTCTCTCCTTCACTACTTCTCTTTCTCTCTCTTTATTTCTTTCTTTCTTTTCTCTATCTATCTCTCTTTCTCTCTCTCTCTCGCTCTTTCTTTGCTTTTTTCTTTTCCCTTCCTTTTCCTATCTCTCTTTTTTTCTATAGCTCCCTCCCGCTTATTTGCACAGCAAAAGACAAGGGTATTTCTAAGGAAATTAAAAACAGAGTACTTTCACTCGTCAGTAAAGAGAGAAAGAGTATTACTGTCGATGAATACTTTTGCCTTTACTCACCACAATCGATTATCGAGATGATTATTGTCGATGTACCTATTCTTTTTCCAAAAATTTCAAAGTTAACAATTCTTATCCCTTAGGCATCTCGTTAGTGCGGATTAAAAGTAAGTAAGAGCGAGTGTTTACTCTACGGAGAATGGGACGTCGCATAGCAGCATTATGGCGTTGCTGAACCATCATGGCGACGTGTTTATGAGGCTCGCATTTGCCGTAACTGTTATACCAGCAATCGCATATGTCCATCACATTTCTCTTCCATATCGAAGACTCTTTTGATATGTCTTCTTGTCTGCATCATTGGAATGCTTATACCATACAAAGAAACTTCTAACTTGCTTGCTTTAGCATTAATCACTACTCTCTGACGCACGTTTACATACTCTCATAGTTACACACAATACACACACAATGATTCGATATGATAAGAATTACTCAAGTGTATAAAAAAAAGCAGAAAAGAACGCAATACTCTTGACTCTAGTTCTTCATCGATAATTTCGATTATTTTTTATAACACAAATATGTTTTTTTTAATCTCTGCAATATATAATTACCGAGCTGTATATGTATTTGTTTTTTGATATCTTTTAAATTCTTTGTATATATTTATATAGTCAGCATATCGTTCGAGAATCATATGTAATGCACTGATTGGCGAAGCTATGAATGAGAGAAGGGTGGGAAATTCGAATGATTACATTACCGAGAAAAAGATTAGTATTATAAAATTTACTCATATTATGATAGTAGTAATGATGACATGGCTAGATTACCTATTTTTTTCTCGTACTATCGCGTTAACAATGTGCAGTGATGTCCTTTTTTCTGAGTAATCTAAAAAATACATATACGCATGTTATGTATTCGTATATTGTATACGAAGGTAAAATTGTAAAACAATTTACCTTAATGCCTGATTAGTCACGATATATATATATATCATCTATCAGAAATATTATAAAATTATAAATTTTATTTTTCTATTGTAAGAACAATATACAATTTTATATACATTTCTTTTTTTTTTAATACACATATTGTTTTGTTAATGCTCTTAAAAATTTTGCTTTCCGTATATTTGCTGCCTCTCTTTGGATTTCTTCATTATTATTAGAATTTAATTCTAACAAACCTATTGTCTTAATCTGAAAATAATTTATTATAATATGAAAATCGAAAAATAAAATTAACTTGTTTGTATATATGTTGGCGTTACTTTGTGAAATCCGTTAATAAGTGAAATGATTAGTTAAACCCTGAAATAACTATACTGATCTATTTAAATATGAAAAAAAGCAGAATTACATACTTTAATTTGGTAATATATGAATTTACAGTTAAATTAGAATTTACAGAAATTAGTAGTTAAAGTATAAAATTAAAATTTAATTCGTACATTAGATTTAATAGAACAGCACAACTAACAAAACATTGATTTTTAAAGTACAGAATAGATAAAAAAACGGATAGCTACGAGCATTGTTGTAGAAAGAAAAGCAGACTTTAAATACTGATTAAATTCAATCTCATACTTTGACTACTCGCATCTTGTGAATTCATATATAACCTTATTATTTCCTAAAACTATTAATTTTAGTGTATAATAAAATTTTTTTTATATGCTTTCTCAAAAACACCTAATTATTTTTGGTAAAATCTAGGATTTTTATGATTTAACTGAATTATACAATTTAACACTAACATATATTTATCGACTAATACTTACAGCAAGTTGCTTTCTATGATATTCACCCCGTTTAGTATGTAAATGAATAAGATATTCTAATATTGTTGTGTCCCAAATGCAATGATAATACGCATCCATAGCATCTGCCGTTGTACAACTTTTTTGATCACTTCCTGCCATTTTAAATGCTAGAGCATAGTCTACTTCTTCCAAAAATTGACATAATATAGCTGCTTGCGTATAGCATTGCAAATGGGCACAACATTTAATCATTCTTCTATAAACAAGATCATCTATTTGTGTACGTGGTATAGGTTGACTAAAAAAATCGCTAGCAACCATTATTGCTTCTAGGTAGTATTTCATTGCACTCTCATAATAACCTAAAACTATTGAAATATTTCATTATCAGTATCTTATTATAACAAAATATTTCTTTTATATTATCTATTTATTACATACTTACCAAAGTTAAGATCACCTGTTAATCGCAACCAAAGAATATTGGTGGGATGATATTTTAACGCTTGCATTAATAATTGAAATAATAACTCTCCAATATATCTAATATTATAAAAATTGGTACTGCAAAAATAGTATAAACATTGTTAATGTACATCCATAATATGTGTAGAATAGAATTATAAAAAATATTATTTACTTTAGTACTCCTGCTGGCCAAAGAGTGAGATATTGTGTATGCAATTCTAGACTAGATTCATCGCGCAATACATTGCGTAAACGTGCTAATAGAGAAATAACAACAGTAAGAACCATCGGTTCACGTAGTCTGTTTAAGGTCCCTAATATACTAGCACTGGTATCTCTTGATGCATTTCCAGCAGCAGTACCACTATTACCACTACTGCTTCGTTTTTGTGGTTGATCTCTAGATGCTCCAAAAGCTGTCAAAACTATTTATAAAATTGTTTATAATATTGTTCTAATAAACAAGTAGAATATAATAATTTAAATTAGTTAATGATAGAATACTTACTCATATCCCATGCTTCTCTAGGAAATTTCCTTGTTCCTTTATATTTAACAATATCTTGACAAACGCTACTAATAGCAGCTGCAAATTCAGTATAACTCCATCGTTTTTCTAAGCTTGTAAGATAATCCCATTCGGCCATATTTAATAGAAAAACAGTGCAATATTCAATGATTTCTTGTCTTGGAATAACTTGATCAGTTGCTTGCAATGAACCAAGACACTGTTTACTTCTTGTAACTAAATTTGGTATATTACCTAAAATGATACAATGTTATGTTATTAGAGTCAATTTCATTCATAATTTAAATTAATTTTTTTATTTATACTTGCATATGTTTGTTGCTGGCCAAGCATGGAGACACCTCCATATATCAACAAGTAATGATTCCCAGTTAATTAATTTAGATAATTTATAAACTAATGTATTTCCACTCTGTGAATGCTGTTGCACTTCCTTCTCTAAAACAAGTAATAATTCAATAGCTCCTTCAAAGTCTTTAGATATTACTAATTCTCTGCTTTTAGCCAGCAGAACGTATGAGTAATCTTGAAGAAATCCTCGAGGAAGAGACATAACAACACTTTGCAACGGTATAGGTAATTCCCAATAATTGTTTATATGCCATAATGGCTTCATACGACGTTTGCTATCCAAGAGTAATAAAGTCTCACGAATTTCTTGACAATCATAAGACTGTATGAGTTTCTGTTCTAATTCAAAAATTTCTATTCTCGTACTATCTATAAATCAAATTTATATTAATTTTTTTAATAAGTATTTATGTACATATAACATTTACTTGTACTTTTAGATGTTAAATATTTACATGTAGATCTCATAGGTGGAATGCCCCAGTCATTATTCAACAATAAATTTGGTAATTCAATTTCTTCCAATGATGCCTTTATCCTTATTTCATGTAATTCTCTTTCATTGAAAAGGGCTGCGTAATTAGGATTATTAAGTAATTTAGATGCCAATCCTTCTAAATCACTTGTATTTACAAGGTAAAGTATGTAACGAGAAATGCATTTTTTATCTACAGGCGTTACTTTCTCCATAACACTATCCAGAGCCTATACAATAAATTTTTTAAACACATAATTAATAGCTTTGTTTTAAATATTGTAATTAACTGTTTCAAAAAATTTTACTTACCCAAAATAGCATATCGAGACCTTTAGCACCGGCTGCTTGTATTTCAGAGACATAATCTCCAAGAATAACACTTTCATTGAGTATATTGCGAACTAAATTCAAACATTGAATTTGCAATAATAAATCACGAGCTACAACAAGTTTTCTATTTACAGATCCTCCTTGAATATCCAATTCTAAATTATCCCTAAAGACTTTTGGTATCTCTCTTGATATATTATCAGTTTGTAAAATTTGTAATATATTCTAAAATATAATTTTCGTATTATACATATATTACACAAACATTAAATAATTTCAATCATTAATAATGTACACATACCAAATATTGATCTTTGATTGAAGATTGTAATTGCTGCGTTAGAGTGGATTTGACACCATCTACAGGAACTTCACAAGCTAAACAACATCCATCTAAAAATTCTTTTTGTATCTTGCAGTATGTCAAAGATTCTGTGTTATCAAATTTGTAAAATATTTCTTTTGCTTGACAAATGTGGCTCTTTGCTTCTTGATATTCTTCTCTTAATAAATGAAATACAGCTAAATCATAATGTATCTAAAAAAATAATTAAAAAAAAATATATCATAAATTCTAGTTAGTTAATATACAAATTACTTTTATGTTTATCTGAATATATAATACCTGACATTTAACTTCTTCGATATTGATAGGATACATATTTTCGTAATTTTGTTTTATTTCTGTACTATCTTCAGTAAGCATTTGAAAAGTATCAAAAGATAGTGATTTCAATTTTAAATCCATTGATTGTAAGACTGCATTTAAAGTATTAACACTATTGGGTAGATGTGTTTCTAATTTTCTAATAATTTCATCCACTAAGCCTGGTGGTACATAAGTAGATTCCTGAATACCTGGTCTAAAAAACGAACATTTATATTAATATATAGAAATACAGATCGTATTTGAAAAAGTTAAAATCTTACATATGAAGAAACTGCTGTTTCGATTGCTTATTATTTAAAGCTCTGTAAATAATTGCTCTTATGTGCCATCTGTGATATAAGATAATTGTAAAAAGCGTTTGGTCAGAAACATTATGTATAGAGAAATCAGGTATAGCAGGTATCTCAACGATGGTGTCCGTTGTTATATAAAACAGATCTTGCAATAAAGTTACTTGTATTGGTAAAGGTAATTTCTTTTCCAATATATCTAAATTAAATTTTAAATGCGCTGCTACTTTCAAGGCAAGAATTTTTAATGCAAGATTTTTATGCGACCACTTGGTTGTACTAGATTTTGTTTCATTTACTTCAACATCTGTAGATTTTGTATCACTTTCCTTCTGATCCGAATTGATTGTTATAAACTTAATTATTAAATCAGTAGATGATGGGTCTACGAGAAAAAAGAATTCAATCAATGAACATTCATAAAATATTACAATTTTTATGTTCTATATTTAATTAATCTAGTTTTACCTGGATTAGGCTTCGATAAATGTTTCTGTAGTAAAGAAGGATTTAATAAAAATTCAAACCAGAGAATTGTATCAGGTGAAATAGGAACCGTTCCTGGTCTTAACAAATCTACATCCATGATTTTTGTATTAATGTAAGTAATAACAGATGTGTTTTGATACGAGTTACATTTACTGTAAAAACAAATACGCAGGTTAGATGCGTAATTCAAACGACTTAGTATGTAGTATGCACATACGTTCTATCCATTTTTCGTTGTAAATTAACAAATTATATTTTTTTATCATCAATTTTATATATAAATAAATTTTTATATTATATATATTATAATAATATAAAATACATGTAAAAATATTGGAAAAGATAAACTAGTTACACAGTTTTTCACTGATCCTTTCGAAGTAAATAATGTCTTTTCTTGTTTTTTCTAACCTGAAATAGTATATTTAAATATATAAATATCACTATGTAGCGGTACGATGAAGATGATTATCATATAAATATAATAATAATATAAATTTTAATGATTATATAATATTGATATATATGTGCATAAAATTATTGAAATATGGAATGATATTAATTTATTAATAAAATATGATTTTGATCATGTATGTGTGTGTGTGTGGTTATGAACTTCATAAAACTCATGATTGGTTCACATTGGTTCCATTGTATCACGTGACTTTTGGCGGTCAACGTGACGCTCGTTTGATCGATGATTATACTTCAAAGGTTAGTGCTATTTTAGATAGTTTTCAATTTTTCCAACAGTTTGAGAAAAATAAATAGATAATTATGGTAAAATTAACATCAAAATTTATCGAAAAGAAGTACGTCCAAATTCGATCAAAATCCCTTAGTAAGGCAAATAAAAAACAAGAATTATGGAAGTTAACTCATTTGTACATGAATGGAATGTTTATCAATGAAATTGTAAGTTTATTTTTATACAAGTTATGAGACCATTTAATTATTTATATTTAAATATATAAACTTATCGTAGGGTAATTTTGCTGTATGCAAAAATTTAAAAGTAATTTATCTTCAAGATAATAATATATCACGTATAGAAAATTTACACTTTGCAACACATTTAACACATTTATATATGCAACATAATAAAATAAGTAAGTTAGAAAATTTAGATTGTCTACAGAAATTGCGCAAACTTTATGTAGGATATAACTGCATTAGCGTAATTGAGGGATTAGAAAATATAGAAAATTTAATAGAACTACATGCAGAAAATCAATCCTTAACTCTAGGCGAAACATTATGCTTAGAGCCGCGCAGTGCTATAACATTATCTGTAAGTTATATCAAAATAATATTGCATATTATATCATGGTTGTTAATTCATAGAAATTATAATTATGTAATAATATTTTGCAGAAATGTTTAAAAAAACTTAACATATCAAATAATAAAATGACTACTTTAACTGATATAGCAAATTTTAGTGAATTAGAAATACTAGAAGCGAAAAATAATTTACTTGAAGATATTGAGGATTTAACTCAAATAATAAGTACATTAATTTCACTTAAAGAATTATACATGAATGGCAATCCAGTTGTTCACAAACATAGATATAAGGAAAGCCTTATTGCTAATAGTAATACATTGGGTTGGTTTATTTTATGTTTTCTACATTTCTTAATGAATATAACTATAAATATTAATTTTTGTTTCTTGTATACAGCAAATTTAGATGGGAAGAATATTTCTGATACTTGTCGCAGGTTTTTACAGGTTTTCAAAGAGAAACGTTTTAAAGAATCAATTAAAAAAATAACAGTACCGATAACAGATGACATTGCAAGTACGTTTGTTTGTCTTTTAAACATTTTTATCGCACATAGCATATATATATATGAAATTAATATATATAATTTGATTATATACATATTTTCATAATCATAGATTCTTTGAATTTGCCTCCTGCATTTAAAAAATCTGTATATAGAGCGATATTTCAACAACCTGGACCAAAATTATCTATAAAAGTTACATCTGCTATGGGAGAATTACAGCCTCATAGTTTCCCATTATGGAAAACAGGTAAAAATAATTAAGATAAATTGTCATGCATTAATAATAACATTCTTTTACTAGCTGCTGGTATAAATAGTCTAAAGGATAACCACATAACTCCAAGACCATTTTGGAGGAATAAAACGAATAAAAAGGAAATATGTAAAGTAAACGCAATAAATAACAAAGCAATCATGTTTCCACCAATCTGATTAATTTTGGTAAAATAATTGATTAATATCGAATATATTTTGCTATACCTATTGTCCTATATATTGGAATCTCTTAACAGCTTTAATGTACATTTGTATAAAAATAAAAAAGAATATGAAATGTTCACATGTAAACAAAATGAATAATTTGTTATCAATTACAATAATACTTTTATGTATTTTAGCACTAATACTACATTCGACCCATCAATAATCATCTATATAACTTGATAATTTAACTTACAATTAAACTTACTTGTGAACAAATGTGTAATATGGATAAGATAAAAAAAAGGAAATAAATAACTATACGTATGTAGATATTGGTTCATTTCAAGGAAGATATAATAACACTTTCATATGTATTCAATCTGTAATAATATAAATACATTTGAAATAAATGAACAACAGAAATATCAGAATGTAAACTTATATACTACATTTGTACGCTGCTTGAAGATCCATACGTAATCTTTTCAATTCGATTTATGATAATTTAAATGCAACTAAATAATACAAAAACCAATGGTGCTTCAAACATTACACAAGTATAATAATCTAAAGTTTTTGCACTATTTTATTTAATATCATAAAAATAATTAATGCTAGACTGTAACATTGACACAAAAGCACATACTATTTCTAAGCTGAAATAATATATATATAAATATAATAATTTTTTAAGAAATTTGAAATAAATAATATTCAAAAATTTATATATATATAATACACGATTATTAGTTACTATAAGCATGGAATGTTAGACGTAGTACGAAATGACATTTTTTCTGGAATTAAAACATAAAACAAAATGCAAATCGTTTAAAATTCGTTACATTTAAATAAATATATTAAACCTCAAAAAACTTTTTTTTATTGTTTCCAAATAATTTTAAGATTTTAAGAAATATTACACAATTTGTGTGTCCATTATTTTTTATTTTTTTTTTACGTCATGAAGTATTCATAAAATATTTAAACTAATTATGATTATGTGCTTCTGATAAATGCAATGTTGTTAGTGCAGTGAAAATACATAATACAATACATTTATAGATACAAAGCATATTTTGTCTCGTAATTAATATTAAAGCAAATAACTTTTAGGATTTTTCTTAAAAAATAATAGCAGATAGCACATTCTTATAATTAAAGCATTTTAATTAGATAATAAATGAAACAAATAAATATCTTTATAGATAATTGAAACTGATATATTACGTCAAAAATAAATATTTTCTTTTTAGATATATAGTTTGACACAAATATTTTCGAAGACAACGTAGCATAAGATTTACTGTTTGTCAATCATATTTTGAAGAATGAATATGCACATCTATAATAAAAGTATAAAATAAAAGTAACTTTTAAGTATAACATAAAGTAGTTTTAAAAATATTTTCTCGCATGGTATGTACATAAAAGCTAGAATATATAATATTTTTTTATAAGCTTGTAAAAATATAAAAATAAAAAATTGGAAAATCTTTGTAAGCAATAATCATATAATGCTTGTAACACTGTATCATTTGTGCAAGATACATATTAACTAATAAAAAATTATAAACGATGTATTATATAAAAAATTTATATCATATATATTATTCCTTTATCATTATTAAATCAATAATTCGGATACACCGAAGGTCTTTAGCATTGAAAAAAAAATCATATGTGAACAAAATCAGCTATCCATTGATATGCATATCCTTATATACCAGATGTCAATATATGCGAAATTGTGATATAAATCCAGGAAATAGTATAAATTAAAAATTACATATAAACAATAAAAAAAGAGAAACATTATCTCCTTTAATTTTGGTACTTAGTTGTATAATAAAATCGCAATTATTAAAATTCTAGAAGATGAAATTTCAAAATGAATAGTATTGTGAAATGTAGTTCTAAAACTACATAAGCTATAGCTTAGTTTAGACATATACGCTGACCAATGCATCATTGCTGTTGGTGTTTATTTATATAATGATCTATTAATCTTTATTAATATTTTAGTAATTATATCTTGTAAAGTAGAATGTGAACATCTGCATAGTTTCCAAAACTGTGGTGTCTTTAATACACCAACGATATTAATAAATGAAAATTAATTAGCACTTTTAATAATATACTTTCTTCCTTTGTATATCACTTAACACTAACACTAACACTGTAAGATTGGAAACTATGAAGATTTCAATTGTCCTCGTAGTACAGCACAATAATACATAGATATATATGTATAGATAGCTGAACGACCAGGATATATTATTATACTTACTGTTATTATTTTGACCAAACGAGTTTTACTCGATATCATTTGGGAACTAACAATATTTTCATTCTGTTATACTGTAGTTTCCCATCTTCATTTTCTACAGCAATCTTCCTTGTTTCAGTTGTGACACACACACGAACATACGTACATAGCAATTAAGCTAATTTCATTTGCATTTAAGCTGTTGAATGGATATTACACGTGTATTTATTACTTATCACTTACAAATTTTACAGAATATTAGTGAGAAACCTTGTATGCATGGAGTAATCAAAAACTGTATATCTTGTAAGTAATTATGTAATACTATTATAAGATTTTTCAAATTTTTGAACGAATCTGTACTATATAGACCATGCTCAAGGGTTAATCAAACGATATAGAAGTCAAAAATATGACAATGCATTAATAGCAGAATTAGTGACTTTATACACTTTGAAATTAGTAATATCATTTTGCAAAAGCTATCTTGTTTTCATATATGAAAATTATGAATAGATGACATATATATATATATATATATAGATTTTTTCCTTTTTTAATTCAATACTTAAAATTATCAAAATTTTTATCTGAAGGGCACTCTGTCCTCTTTTCGTAAATATTAATGGCTTACTCATTTTATATACATACATATCTATGTATATGTAATATGTATAATAAATATCAAGGTATGTGCATACATATACACTCTTAATTATCTGAACATGAACACGATTGTTTATGGTATAAGGTACTACGTTTCATACAAAACTTTATTAATGACTTTTCTTTTTTCACTAATGAACTTGATTTACAATCAAGTTTCAACTCATATAATTGGGTAAGCTTCAAAAAGCAATTTCCCAAATCTTTTAAGAAAGGCATCATAATTAAATGAATAATGTACGCAAGGGCTTATTGACGATAATTCAGTCTGACGATTATGCATCTGAAAGATGCATAATAGTATGCAACATGTAGTAAATGCAAACTTGTATCTTCATATTTTTTTGCTCTGAAGATACCATAGCTGTTCAGACAGAGTGCCATATAATTATAGATTCTATTTTAGAAGAGGTTACTGTGCCATCTGCTGTTGAATTTCTATTTTTTCAACAGTCATATCAGGATTTGTTGCAGCAGCCTCCTGAATAGCTTCTTGTAAAGCCTTATCATGATCAATCGGATCACCATCCGATTGTATTGTTATTTTTTGTTCTACTCGTGTTTCCACCACACCATCTCGTTCAGTTTTGTACTATAAAAAGAGAATTAAATATATACAAAGATCTATTAATTACAATGTAACAATAAGCGATTATTATGCTTACAGTTATTGTTTCGACAGTACGAGTTTTACTTGATATCGTTTGGGAACTAACAATTTCACCCGTTGCACTGTAATTCCCATCTTCACTTTCTAAAGCAACTTTTCTTGTTTCAGTTGCAACTAATGGAACTGTTGTAGTAGTTGTAACATTACTATCAGGCTCTCCGGTATAGACATGTGTTTCAGTTGCTACTATATTTGCAGGATCACCCTATATGAAATTAATGTACAAATACAATCGTTAAATGAATGTTACAAAGTTGACTAACACTAAATTATTATACATATACATGTATTAGACATAATATATTAGTAACACATATTTTCATATTATACCAACATACAGAGAAATGATCAACAAATGATTCCGTACAAATAATTTATTTATGAATTTGTTTTCTTTAAAAAAATTGACAATAACACATGCACATTTCTTTACAAATAATATTAAAAAGATTATTGTATTTTAGGGATCATCCTACATGAAAAATATGATTACCAATTTTTACTTTTTGTATAACAATAGAAATCTAACAGTTATCAAATCTGAATACAAACAGCAGTCAAAAGGTAATAATTGTCAAACTTAGTTTTTTTTTTATAAATATAATAAAGTAATTTATATAAATTTTTCATTTGATAAATAGAAACGTTATAACTAAACGTTGTAAATTACCTGATAATATTGATTGTAGAAAGCTTGTTGGTCATCATCAAGGTCAATTGGTGTACCTGAATCTCCGCTGCTTGAACTAGATGTACTGAGCCTTCGTGAGAACAGCTATTTCATGCAACGTGTTAGCCAAGCCGCCAAAATTAATTATGATGTAACAAAACAAAAAAAAAAGGAGAAAAAAATTGAATCAAATGAAAAATGGCATGATTTAAATTATTGTTAAAATAGCTGGACTTTTTGCATAAAATAAAGGATAATTCTTTCCCATGTCCAATTTCATCATCTACATACATATATATATATACGTATGTATTAATAGAGGATTTTATACACATATACTATTCTAACTAATTGTAAGTTAATATATACCTTCTAATTGTTTTTGAACACAATCGTTAATCCCTTTAACTTGATGAACAGAAATTAGTATAAGAAAAATTCGTATGGAAAATTTACACATTTAAAAAAATACTACAATTAATAGCTAAAAATAATAATGTTTAGTATCTCTCAATGTAATTAATTAAATTTTTTAACTACATTTATATTATTATAATATGGTTGTGCATAAATGTATATACAATAAAAAAATCTGATATTTGCATTAGACGACGTTAGTTAAAATTCTAAATTGTGCACATAATTGTCTACATGCTTTGAATGAAGTCTTTAAGCTTACACAGATAAATAATTAGATATTAAACTTTATTTTACCTGTTCACCTGAAAGCACATGACTTGTAGTCCGAACTTCTTGTGTTACTACTCTTTGCTCTTGTCTTGTTGTACTGGTTGCAGTCGAGTATGCTACAGTCTTTTCCTCTACCTAATGTAAAAAAGCAAATTATAACATAACATAAAGTAAAGCATTGATAAAAAATGTGAAATACTCAAATATACTGTAATCTCAAATACAATACTCTTAAGTTTATACGAAAATAATTATAAATTAAATGATTCGTACAATATTGTATGATTGCAAATTATTTTAATATTTAATATACTGATAATTTCTAATTAGCAGAAAAAAATAATTTATAATTCGTCATATAGAAAATTATAATATAATCAGTGATTTACAAACCTGACTCGTTTTTTGATTTTTTTCAAGATCTTCATGCATTGTTGCAGTACGTGTAGTAACAGCTGTTGCTGTCATATACGGGGCTCTACCATCATCTGATGCTTCTACCTACATATAACTACAATTTACTAATAGCTCTAAATACGCTTCATGAATAATTAGGGCATAAAGATTATGATTAATAAGATCAGTCATTAAATATAATAATAACAAACCTGATTTGTTTTTTGATTTTTGTCATGATCTTCATGCATTGTTACAGTACGTGCAGTAACAGCTGTTATATATGGGGTTCTATTATCATCTGGTACTTCTGCCTATGTACAACCGTAGTTTTACAGATGATTTTACATACATTTAACAAATTATTAGGTCTACCGGAAAGTTTTGTCCGATAGTGTCACTTCAGGTTTCAATCCATATGCACATGTTGATTTGAGACATATATTGTGTTATTTTCTTTCAATTCAAAAACAGACAGAACTTTTCGGTAGACCTAATATAAAAGCATGAATATTACAATACAAGAACTAAAGCATGACGATCACAAACCTGGCTTGCTTTACGATTTTTTT